AGCGAGGAGCTGGCGCGCTCGGCGTCGGGCTCCGCGTTCAGCCCGTACCCCGGCTCGGCGGCCTTCACAGCGCAGGCGGCAACCGGCTTCGGCAGCCCGCTGCAGTACTCGGCAGACGCCGCCGCTGCAGCTGCCGCGGGCTTCCCGTCCTACATGGTAACCACTTTGGGGTGGGGGCTGGGAGACCCCCGACCCTTGGCTTGGGTTGAGCTGGGGACTAGGAACACGGCGGGGCGCGGGTGGTGGCTCCGGAGTCACCAGCACCAGCTGCCGCGGGAAACAAGGGACCGATTTGACCCGCAGCGGTTGTGGGATGATTTCCTCTAAGCCCGTGCGAGGTGCTACTCCACCCGGGCCGGGCCATGAGTTGTCTCTAATCCGCGCCTGCAGATTGCTGGGGCGGCAGAATCGGCCCGCGGCTCTCTCGCAGGGTTCCAGGCCGAGGGCCGCCGCTGCCCGGGCCTCTAGGGCCACTGCCGCGCGGTTCGGGTTTCTTGGGCACGCTGGTAGTGGCGGGGTCACCGAGTTAGGGGAGAGCATCCGGCTGCCGCCCCTAAACCCAGACTGACGCTCTCTAGTTTTGTCCTTTATCTGTCTCTCAGATCTGGCTTTCAAAAAAATTGTTGACGGGTTTGGGACCCGCTAAGTGCTACCAGAGTTCGTGCGCGGCCTATGGGCTCCAGCTCCAGAAAGCAGGGATCCGCCTGAACATCCCTGGGTTCTGAGAATGGGCCCCTCCTGAGTGGGTCTTAGCAGTTTTGGGGCGTGTGAGGACATGGGGCGTCGGGAGGGGGGGCTTTATACCCTAGTTGGAATTCCCTAAGTTGAAACCGGGCCTTGGGAGAAGGTTACAAACACCTCGTATTTAAATGTTAAAGGATGAATTAAAATGCTAATTACTACGTAGTTGAAGAATTGCAAAAGCTGACTGGCTTCTGAGTTGCAAATTGGATTTACTCTGCTTTAGAGGGTGAATAGCAGAGTAAGGTTCCGAACTATTTTTTTTTTTTTTTAAACTATATAAAGGAGGAAACGGGGAGAGAGAGCAGCTTGGGAAGCCTCCCATAACATTTAGATATCAAAAAAACTACTGCAGGGCTATCAGGAGAATGTGTTTGCAGACATTGTTCGAGCTACTTGGGACGTTAGGTCGTTTCAGGAAAAAAACAAAAGTGAGATAGTTAAAAACAAAATTCTAGGTTCAGAAGGCAGGAGTTTTGTTTCCAGTAGCTGGCCTTGTGTTTCCGCGGCTCTCTGCAGAAAGGTTCCCAGCCCAGAGGAGCAAGAAAGGCAGCGGGGGGCGAACGTAGGGTCGCCTTGAGGGGGGGTGGGGTGACGCCTGAGGGGCCCACGCACCCTCCACTCACAGGCTGTTGTGGCTTCCAGGGCTCGCCATACGACACGCACACCACCGGAATGACTGGCGCCATCAGCTATCACCCCTATGGCAGCGCGGCCTACCCATACCAGCTCAACGACCCCGCGTACCGCAAGAACGCCACGCGGGACGCCACTGCCACGCTGAAAGCCTGGCTCAACGAGCACCGCAAGAACCCGTACCCCACCAAGGGCGAGAAGATCATGCTGGCCATCATCACCAAGATGACCCTCACGCAGGTCTCCACCTGGTTCGCCAACGCGCGCCGGCGCCTCAAGAAGGAGAACAAGATGACCTGGGCCCCGAGAAACAAAAGCGAGGACGAGGATGAGGACGAAGGAGATGCTGCCAGGAACAAGGAGGAGAGTCCCGACAAGGCTCAGGACGGCACAGAGACCTCGGCAGAGGACGAAGGTGAGCGGGGCCGCGGTCGGTGCGAGGGCTCAAGGAGCCTTCTTCCCAGGCGGGCTGTGGTTGGGGCTGACACTACGCACCTGCCACGCGGGGCCCGGGCCTACGAAAGCGGCTACACGGCTTCGTTCCGGGCCTGCCGCGGGATTTGGCTTGGAGAGTCCTTGGGCACTGCGGAGATGTTGGGCTGCGCTTAACGCTGCCTTGGGGCGAGGTGAGGGGTCGTGGGGAGGCCCGGTGCAGGACGTTCGTTGGGCGGATGGGACTGTGGGTGCCCCGCGCTGGCCCAGCTTTCCGCCCACCGTGTCCGCGTCCCCGCAGGGATTAGTCTGCACGTCGACTCGCTCACGGACCATTCGTGCTCGGCGGAGTCAGATGGGGAGAAATTGCCCTGCCGCGCCGGCGATCCCTTGTGCGAATCGGGTTCGGAGTGTAAGGACAAGTTTGAGGACCTGGAGGACGAGGAGGATGAGGAAGACGAGTGCGAGCGGGACCTGGCGCCTCCCAAACCCGTGACCTCCTCGCCACTCACCGGCGTAGAGGCACCCCTGCTGAGCCCGGCGCCCGAAGTCGCGCCGCGCGGTGGCAGCGGTGGCAAGACGCCCCTAGGCAGCCGGACGTCGCCTGGAGCGCCGCCGCCCGCCAACAAGCCCAAGCTGTGGTCGCTGGCCGAGATCGCCACTTCGGACCTCAAGCAACCAAGCTTGGGCCCGGGTTGCGGACCTCCGGGGCTACCGGCTGCCGCCGCGCCCGCCTCCTCTGGGGCCCCTCCGGGAGGCTCGCCCTACTCCGCCTCTCCGCTGCTGGGCCGCCACCTCTACTACACGTCGCCGTTCTATGGCAATTACACAAACTACGGGAACTTGAACGCCGCGCTGCAAGGCCAGGGCCTTCTGCGGTACAACACCGCGGCCTCCGCACCAGGCGAGACACTGCACGCCGCGCCCAAGGCGGCTAGCGACGCGGGCAAGGCGGGCTCGCACCCTCTGGAGTCCCACTACAGGCCTCCGGGCGGCGGCTACGAGCCCAAGAAAGGTAGGCTGCCTGAGGCCGGCGGGGAGGGATCCTGGTGAGTCAGAATAAGCAAGAAACCTGGGAAAGGACTCTGGGAGCTGGGAGACCTTTGGACAGACAGCCACTTGCCAGAGCAGAATTAGGGGAGTCAGTATGAGGAAAAGGATTGAGGGTGAATGCAAAGAGGACTAGCCCTCTTTTTAGATCTACTCTGCTTTATTTACCCCTTCTTTAATTTATTGTTAATACTGTCACCGTAACTATTTTGTTTTGGCAAACTTACTGCCAGGCAAAGAAAACTGCGCTTGCCTCTCTGCTGGGTGTAGTCTTTCCTCTGTGGTGTTGGTTAAATGGAGCTTAGCAGAATCCTTTCTGCCTTTGGCTCAAGGAAAGCACAGGTTCTCGGGAACTCTCAGAGGCCTAATTCTCTTACACTGCCTACATTGTTCCTAATTCGGCATCCCTGGGATGGAGGCTCCCGGGGAGGAGGAGAGGAAGGGGCAGGAGGGAGCCCAAGTGAAATGGATCTTAGATTCCCCGGGAGTGTGCGGCCCTTGCAGGGATAAGAGCTGATAGGTGCTTAGCTGCCAGGGGTTGCAGCCTGTCCTCACTAACTGCCCCTCCCCTGACAGATGCCAGTGAGGGCTGTGCGGTTGTTGGTGCAGGCGTCCAGCCCTACCTATAGGAGGGCCGAGCTCCGCAGTGCAAGTAAGTGGGTTCCGTGGGCGGCGTCCTCCAGCAGCAAGCCTGTGCCCTGTGTAGTGTGGTGTGGTTTTGCTTGTCAAGGGTTGGAGAATAGAGTCTGGCTTCCTTCTGGCCTCTTTGCCCTCTATTTTATAGATTTCTTCTTTTCTGCTCAAGTTCTGCTTTAGAGAATCACTTCTTTAATCGGGAATAAACATACATTCACACACACACACACACACACACCATATACCCCACCACTACTGCTATTGGTTGATGATGGTTGAAATGAGGCATCTCGGTGTCATTGAGACCTGTTTTAGATTATATGAAGGACACCTTGCTTGATGAGTGAGTTGTGTAGAAACTCGGGCATTAAAACCTGTAGTGGATGTTGTATTCAGAATAAGATTAAAGAGACACTGGCAGGGGCTGGTCTTTCATAGGACACATAGGAGACTCTATAGTTCTCATAGCCCAGAGCTGTTACAAACATTTACTCTCCTACTAGGCATCATGACTAGTCACCCTAATGATGGCAAAGAGGCAGAGCCAGTAGACACAAGCTTGTGTTTTTCTTTTGGTAACGTGTTGGTATGGAACTGAAGAATTTGGCATGATTTGGTTTTTTCCTTGGTCCACAGGTAGGTGTCACAATTGCTTTGGAAAAAAAATAAATAAAAATCAGGAGGCCATTCTCCTTCCCCAAGCTCATAAGTACACAGATACAAACCCCAGATGTGGAAATCTGGACCACATCTTGTGCCACTGTAAAAGAGGATGCACACCGCACTACCAACCCACAGACTCTAAGGACCGGACACATGTTGTTGGGCATACGTGAATTTGTTGGCATAGTATAGCTTCCCCATGTGTGTGTGACTTTTGGAAACAATCTGTTTTTTCTCAGGATATCTTGATCACTTCATTGCCACGGTATATATTCTATAGGTGTGATAGAACTTGCTGTAAAATTTATT